AACCCTCATTTCATGAATTAATAAAAAATGGCCACCAGTGCAAACCTCACTGCTGATTGGCTGGACACATTAGCAGAGGGCAAACAATATTATTTAAAGCTAACTTTCACTGCTGGAAGGTAACATGTCTTAAAGGGGAGGTGCATTATAGCTTGGGCAAGTATTGTCAATTTTTTTTATTCATTTATGGGATGAGGGCATCACTGGCTTTCATTGTCCATCCCTAATTCCCCAGAGGGCAATTAAGAGTCAACCACATTGCTGTGGGTCTGCAGTCACATGTGGGTGTAGGCCAAGCCAGATAAGGATGGCAATCTCCTTACCGAAAAGACATTCGTGAACCAGATGGGTTTTTCCTGACAATCAGCAATGGCTTCATAGTCATCATTGGACTCCTAACTCCAGGTTTTTACTGAATTCAAATTCTACCACCTGACATGGAAGGATTCACACCTGGGTCCCCAGAATATTACCTGGGTCTCTGGATTAACAGTCCAGTGATAATACTGCTAAGCCATGACCTTCCCTTGCCTCATGCAGCAAGTGACACTGACCTAGGAAATATTGAAGAACGACACAACATGAGACAGTGTGGTTTAGATTAGTCCATTGAACTGATTGTCTTGGTGGACTTGGCAGAAAGGAGAAGTATCCTGCACCCACAGAGGGCAAAGACGACCTCCAGTAATGCACTATAAAATGAGTGAGAACACATAGCTGTGGAGGTCAATGAAAAGAGAAAAGGTGCAATGATGTAGATACAGTTCAAGAAGTTCACTCACTGTACATGACTGATCAAGGTAACATGTTATATACGTTTTTTAAACAAATTAGTGTATATATTCAGGGTAAAGTGAACTTCTTGAAACCAAAAGTTTCAGGCAAAAGTCATGGGGTCAACTTTTACATGGCTAAGCTTTGAGGGATTTACACATGTGCTTTATTTGACCCCAAGAGAAATCCAAAAGAAAATTGAATAGAATAAAGTAGACCCCAATGAAACTAATGTCATGCCTTACTGGGGAGCACCTGTGAAGCCAAGCCCAGCTACTCCCAGAGCCGTCACAATAGCTAAAGAGTTAATCAAAATATGCAAAGGTTCTCCAATTTACCTGGCTGTTTCGACTTAGGTGAATAGAAAACGTGGACAAGTTTCTGTACTTAACGAGAATTATTACTTATTTCAACTCAATTGATTTTAGTACAGGTAAACAACTATGAACTGTCAACATATAATCCTAATTTTAGAATTCTAACCCCCTTATAAAACTTCCCCATATTCATACAGAGAGACAAAAATAATTGGTATTATGTGTGGAAGGAAAAACTTGGAAGGCATTTCAACAGTCTCTGTCTACAGGGTTCACAGAGATGATCCTTTTGTTTGCCAAAACTTTCTGTTCTTCAATATCCGTTCATTAGATACTTTTCACTTCCTTGCAGGAGTCACAGAATGACTGGTTCATAAATTATAAAGTCCTTTTCTAATTAGTTAAAAGCAACAGCTTATAGAAAATAGTGAGGGACATAAACTGGCTTTCTTCAGATGTCAGGTACTTTCTACGGCAAGAAGAGACACACCATCTCCCTCTCCAGAGGTCCAAAAGATTCTGGCAGTGTTGCCTATACCCATAAGCTGTTCAGCTACCTGGAGCCAATAACACAGTTATTGGCAGTGGCTTTTGTCATCAACAACTGGTCACCACACCGCAGAACGATTGGTTGCCAGCCAAATCTCACTTTGTACATATCCCCCTTTGCAAGCAAACCGCTCCCCCCTACTCATAGAACAAAGCTGCAGCGAAAACACCACTCACAATACTTGTTTTTAAAAAGTCCAGCAATCCCTTCCTGATTTTCAAAGACGTCCTTCTCCCATTTTAGGCCGTGTAAAAAATACAGGAAAAGTAAAAAGATACAACCTATACACTAAAGAATCCATATTAATTATCTAACATTTATTTATTCTGTAACATCACAAATTGTATATTTTTCAGCCAACACAGTATAAACATATAACAAATTATCTACACACTTTCCTTTGGCAATATCTCCTTCTGTCCAAGCGTGTTGGATCACCAAACACCACACCAAAGACAGGGCCTTCACTGCTCTGCCAAAAAAACTTGCCCGATGTCTTTCTTACCCCATATGTGTTTAGAAGTAGGACAAAAAGAACAATTTGTTATACAGCACCTTTAATATAATGAAATAAGCCAAGGCATTTCACAGGCGGAGCTATAAAAATATTACACTGCACCATGATTGAGATTTAAGGCAGTTGATCAAATGCTTGGAATCTTCTCGGCCCCTGAATGATGTGGGTTAGCAAGAAATTTGGAAAAAAACGAGTGAAATATTCAACGAGGCCCTGCTCATCATCGAGACCATAAAGTTCCATTTTCACAGGGAGATAGGGTGGTGAAGGAGGCATTTGGCACACTGCCTTCATTGGTCAGACTCTTGACTATAGGAGTTAGGACATCATGTTGCAGTTTTACGGGACTTTGGCGATTCCACTGTTGGAGTACTGCATATAGTTCCGGTTGTCCTGTTATAGAAAGTCTATTATTAAATTGGAGGGAGTGCAGAAAAGATTTACAAGGACGTAACTGGCACTAGAGGGTTTGAGTAATAAGGAGAGTCTGAATAGGCTGTGACTTTTTTCCCCTGGAGCATAGGAGGTTGAGGGGTTACCTTATAAAGGTTTATAAAATCATGAAAGGGATAGATAAGGTGAATAGCAAAGGTCTTTTCCCCAGGGTAGGGGAGTTCAAAACTAGAGGGCATAGGCTTAAGGTGAGGGGGCAATGATTTAAAACCAACCTGAGGAGCAACTTTTTCACACAGAGGATGATGCATATATGGAATGAACTGCCAGAGGAAGTGGTAGATGCAGGTACAGTTGCAACAGTTAAAAGACATTTGGACATGTACAAAAATAGGAAAGGTTTAGAGGGATATGGGCCAAATGCAGGCAAATGGGATTAGTTCAGTTTGGGAAACCTTTGTTGGCATGGACAAGTTGGATTGAAGGGTCCATTTCCGTGCTGTACGACTCCGTGACTCTTCACATTGAAATCTTTCAAAATTGCAGTGATCATCTTCTGAATCTCTGATCTATTCATCCCTATCAGCTATATAACATCATTTTATAGATCTTCCAATTGTTATTGTTAGTAGTAACTTTGACATCCTCATTCCATAAAAAAGATCTTTAGTATAATTGAGCACATTCAATATTTTACATTTTAGAAATTATTTATTTGATAATATGGGATCAAGGCCAATCCAGGTTTCCAAAATACATTGACACAATGTTGTGGGTGAGTGTGTTTGCATATTTCGTCCTTTGTGAAGACTTCTGCATCTGCTAAACCTAATTGATCCACATCTTTTGGATTCTATCCAAGAGATTATTCATGCACACATCCGAGCAGTGAACAATTCTCTTCAAACTGCCAGGAATATCTGTCATGCTAGGGTTAGTCAAGCTTACATCACTGCCTCTACCATCAATGAGGTTTCCTACACTAGTAAACTTTTCTTTGCATAGACCTTCTGGTTTCAAATTCCAGATTCCTCTGATCCAGTTATTCCAAGTGCCTTCACCAAATCAGCTTTTCTCAT